CCGAAGGAGGAAAAAAACACATTTGCAACCTCAATCAACGTCACCGGGCAATCTACCGACGCACTACTCTATCGTCTACGCCCGTTCACCCCGCTGCTACCCCAATACTCAGCAGCCCAAGAGCCACTGGGTCGTGCATCTGACTTGCATCTAACGGGTTCGTTCCCATCCAGCCCTATTGTGCAGCCCCCTCCTCGGCCCAGAGGAAATTGCCCGGTTGGTACCTAATCTGTTCGGTTCCAGAACCCTGCCGTCATCGTCCCTTTCGCGGCTCGTCAACGTCTTCCGACCAAAACTCCCTCGCCTACCTTACCTCCGCAGAACTCCAGATACGCAACAAGCTCGACGAGGCCCCACGTGTTCCTCGTAGTCTAGCCCTGATTTCTTTCCATTCGTTCCATTCGGCCCCAGAAGCCAGCCCAAGTTGCCCGCCATGGCCGATGTTCCTCTGCATGTCATTTCGGAAAACTCCTCGTCAGAGCGCCGCATCACCCCATCATGGACCATCAGCCAGCTGAGGTCCAAGCTGGAACCCATTACCGGTATCCCGCCCTCGTCCCAGAGAATCAGCCTCAAAACAGCCTCGGCCACGGTTCCGATTGAAGCATCCGATGAGGACAGCGCCTACTTGACAGCTTTTCCCCTGGCACCCTACGCCGAGCTGCATGTAAGTAGCCCCCTTATTCGTCTCAACATGCCACCCAGCTCGTTGTCTAGGTCGACTTCCGAGCATGCTTCTCCTTTCCATGACCACAATGCCACCGTCGGATCTATGAGGGTGATCTGTAGTCATTGTCACGGAGGTAACCGAGATTAACTACCTGCCTCCGGCAGTAGCATGGCTTGTGAGCCTCGTTGTCGGGACTTACAGCTTACTGCCTCCTTAGGCAACCGGCCAGCCATGCTCGTAACTAGGTGAATCATTACTGATCGTTCTACATTTAGGTGGCTGACACTCGGCCGGCGGGAGCTCGCCCGAATTTTACCGATACTTCGGGAGTTGAGAAGTATGTTATGCCAGAGGAGGAGTACGCCAAAAAGTCCGATTCTGTGCTGGCCTGGAAGAAGGCTCAGAAGCTTGGTCGCTTCGACCCCGACGCGCCAAGCCACGAGCAGGCCAAGATTGATGCTTTACAGCAAGAAATCGAGCAAAAGGGCATTCAAGTCGGTAAACGATGCCGTGTGGGCGGAGAAGATTCTCGGAGAGGAACTGTCCGGTATGTTGGTGATGTCAAGGAAATCCCTGGCGGTCTGGGTCCTTGGATCGGAGTTCATCTTGATGAACCCGTTGGTAAGAACGACGGCAGCATTGCCGGAACGCGGTATTGGGGCGAGGAATCGACTCTGAAGCATGGAGTCTTTGTGAGGCCCGAGCGGGTTGAGGTTGGCAACTGGCCAGTCCTGGACGACCTGGAAGACATGGAAGAGATCTGAGAGAAGCGAAGCGCCATCTCGGCGCCATCTTTACCGCGCTTTGGAGTTCTTGTCCAAGGCCCATTCAGATGGTCGCGTGGCTACTTGCAGACAAACCCCGTTTCTTCTGTGCAGCAGTCCCCAGCCAAAGTCCGGATATGCAAATGGGACGAACTCGCGCGTCAAGGTTCCATGAGTGGTTGGTGGAGATGGGCCCACGTTCTTTCGACGGAGAGCTGAGGTCTTGGACTGATCAGCAAAGTCGCCAGTTGGGGGGTCGATGCAGTAATAGGAAGTTTCGATGCTTTTTCCTCTTTCGAGTAGAATGCCCTGTGTGCGAAACCGGTGGTTCGACAGTGTCGTCGAGGACCAGACCCAATCTGTATCATCAATATCGGACGGTGTCCAAGTCCATCGCATTTCTCGACACCTCGTTGCTTTCTCCTACTTTCGGCACATCTTCAGATGAACTGGCCTTGGGGTTGAGTTCGTTTCCTGTCTTTGAGAATCCGAACCGGGCCTGCTACAACCATCGACTGGCATCTTCCACGGGAAGGAAGTCTCTGACTCGGACCCGGCGGCATGAGAACGCCTAGTTTCTGTGACCGGCTGCTTCCCGAGCCAGGTCTTTGCGCACAATGCTTTTGACCGTAGTCTCAGCGTCGGAAACCAGATGGCTTCTGAACGCCATCCAGATCAGGGCCAACGTTCATTTTGGTCGGATGACTTTAAACGGCCTCGCGACCAAGTTCATGAGCTGTTTTGCCAGCGATTGTTGCAGAACTTTCCGCGGAACAGGCTGAAGCAGTAGTAAAGTACTGGTGTCAGGATCACCGATTCCATCACGGAGTATTGTCGAAGACTCTTTCAGCGACCAAACGCCATCGACACATTGTAGACCTCCGGCTGGCTATAAGGTCAGAGTTTTCCCTGGGACATGCATAAGATATCACGATACCGTTTTGTGTCAATGATTTCATCACGCATGGTCCGCTCCGGCGACGTGACTCGATCTTGACGACAGGGTGAGGTCTCGTTCTCGGTGCCTGATCTTCTGACAATGGAATAAAGGTTAAGAGTCTACAAGGAAAAAAGGAACAGGAGGGTTTGTGGGGTGTAGGACAAAAGATGCAGTAAGTTTGCAGTCAGGAATGGCATGAACGAGGACAGGAATCCTATCCAGCGTTTGTCAGGGAATACCGAGTCTCGCTAACTTTGGATAGGTTTTGGAAAGCGTGAATCAGGTGTCTGCCGACCCCGTGCTGAGTCTTGAGGCTCCTGGCGGATAGGGCAGATGATGATCTGGGGAAGCACCGTCGATGCTAGCCAGTAGTCATGGATCCGGGATAGACAGGTTTCTCGGACACGACAGGTGTTTGAGCCGGAAATACAACTACTATATACCTGGCATGTGTTTCTACCCAATGCACGACGAGTGTGGCTGCTAGATGACAAGCGATCCTTCCCTTTATCCATCGATTTCTCAACCCCAGCTCTGACTGATGGCATTGCACAGATTGCTAGAAAACTTCATCTTTTATATGAATGCTGCGAGATTGTATGGTAACACAATGTTCCTACACGCTTCAAGCAGCACTGAGGCATCTTGCATGCCGTGAAAACCTCTACTGTGTACGATGCCTTCCAACAAGCTGCGTCTCACGTGAAGCCGGCTGCGGCCTGCCACAAGAGTGAAGATTCAGAAATAGAGGTACGAGATTTGGCAGAAACGAGCACGAGTATTTCTGCCGCATGGATGGCAAAGAGACGAGTTTAGCATCTGAGACTGAACGACGGTCGATCCCTAATGCAAAGGTGCAGGGAAGGTTCCGAAGGAGCCGAATGGGAGGGCGGGCGAACCACAAACAATGTTTGCATTGGCGTGGCGTTCGTCAAGCTGGCCAGATGGGGGTCCAGTAAAAAGTATCAGACAAGCGCGAGATCAATGCATATAATGCAATGCCAAACGTTATGTTGAGGAGAGTTGGGACAAAGGCCGCATCCCTACTCCGGATCGTCCAGAGTTGTTCATCCATGGATATGACGAAGGGAAGCTTGAAGTTTGACGTCGGAGGTGTGTGCCGGGCGGTAGTTTACGAAGGAGGAAAAAAGGCAGACGGGAAAGGACCGGGGGTCCGGGTGGATGAGGAGGGTTTGCGGCCTTGCAAAAGTGTCGTGGGCGGGCTGCTACGGGGGTCAGCCTGGGACGGACAGCCGAGTACGGGGCTTCGGCCTTGGAACGGAGTGCGAAACTGAGAGAGAAAAGATTCAGACGTCGATTTCATCTGCACTGTGGTTTTTGATCAGGTGGATTGCTCGTGACGCGACGGCGAGCAGCCGCGATTGCGCGCCTTCAGTCAAGGCGAGGCTTCACAAACAGAAGCGGAAGCGGAAGCTGCCCATGTGAGAATGGGCTCGTCATACCAGACGGAGCCGGCTCGTCAGCCGGACACGGCATTATCCTAAACCTCCGAATATTTACCTTGGCGAAGCAGACCAAACGAATACAGCGTCAGCTTCCGAGAACGTATCCGGGCTCCTCGGGAGGTTTTCTTCTGAAGTGTATTCGGAGGAAGATGCGGAACGCAGTGGCTCTCACCTGAGCACATGTTGGCGAACAAGGTTGGGCGAGGAAAAGGTTCAGCAAAAGTATGTGGCAGGAAAGAGAACACCACGTGGAATTGCGGAGGAGAAAGGTCAGCGGGTAGACCGAGGGCTACTTATCCCCAGAGAGTGGACTGAAGAGCCAAACGCTATGCAAGAAGTTGGTATCCGAACTGACCGGAGATCAAGTCGCTTCTTGAAGCAGAGCCCTCCCTGGCGAGGGACAACGAGGCAGGGTTCATTATACAGGGGGCATGATCTAGGGCATGGACCTAGCCATGGGAACTCTTTCTCTCGCTTGAGGCTCTTTTTGCAATCTGTACGGGACGTCGTTGTCAGAGGTTAAGGGGGTTCGCGGTACATAGTGGTTTACGTGCTGGTCCTTGACTATAACCTGCCGGACTACCGAATTGGCGAGACGTCAAAAAGACTCAAGGAGTACAGGTACGGATAGATTGCCCATGGTTCAGGCCGATCTGTCTAGACCGGCTGAGATGGGCGCCAATGCCAATCTACCGCGCGACAGGGCTGATGCCGATCCCCGAATGTGGGCTGTCAATGGCGACAAAGATGGAGCTGCGGTTGTCTGGAGTTGATGGGAGTGTGGTCTGAGACTCTGCGGTACTTGGATGAGTAGAGATGGTTTGCGAGTGCTTTGCCGCGGTACGCTCAAGTGAATCGATATCAGGCGAGGGGATATTGGCGGTCCGATACGCGGAATAATTAGGATCTGAGATGAGTTTAGGTAACGAACTACCTACGTGAGGGCTTGCGAAGAAGACTACTGGTTAAAACTAGACAATGCAGAAGACAACGGTGGTGAAGTGTAAAGTACGCCTAAAGACGACAATCGGAGGGGAAAATGAAGGGCAGCGCATAGATGAGACAACCGGGCGTGCGATGGGCGATATAGCATTGAGCTCTATCGGTTTGAGTTGCGCTCAAACGGGGCTCGCCGTCTCAGTGTGGTCGGAGGTTTTTCGTTAGGCTAAGGGGGGGGGGGGGGGGGGGGGGAAAAGTTTTGGGACGGGGGGGTTTTTTCCCCCCTTTTCCCCCCTTCCCGAAACCTTTGGCCCCTTTGTGGTGGGGGGGGGGGGGGGGGGCGGGGGGGGGGGGGGGGGGGGGGGGGGGGGAGCGCGTAAAGTCTTGGGACAGAGTGGTTGTCTGCCCCCTGTTACCCGCTTACCGAAACCATTGAGCCTCTTGCTGGATGAGTCTGGCTCGGCTGGCCGGGAGAGAGGGTAAGAGAGAGAGAACAGAACGGAACGGGACAGAGAAGAGAAGAGAGAGGAGGCTGTCCGGAGTATTGGCGAGGCACGGGACGGTCGGGATGCAGGGATCCCGAGGACCAGATTTGCGGTTGATATGGGAGTTTTGCGGGGGAAGAATGGAAGAAGTCGTGAAAGGGGCGCGGCTGTCTGTGTGGTTACAGATTCCCCATGGGACGTTCACGCATTTTGCATCACATTAGCTTCCTTTTCTTGCTCCCTAATTCCCCGTCCCGACTACCTACCACGGAACCAATTGTGTTGATTCTCGTCATCCCGTCCGTCGCCCGCATCCCGAAAGAAAAGGGGGCTATTCCAGGCCTTTTTTATGTATACGGCAGATTTTGGATCAGGATAGGAAACGGAGGGAGCATAGCATTTACGGATGATCCGAAGCGGGTTGGCAGTGGCCGGGGGGCCTCGCTTGAACGGAGGCTGCTGTGAGGCGTCACAGGGCAGTCTCGAAGGGCTTGCCAAGACCGGGTCCTACGGTCGCATCAGATGCGTTGGCGATCTGTGCAAGGGCTCTGAGGCTCCTCATCCCCATCGTCCCCTTGCGAGCTGTCCCCGGCGAGCGAGCCGGGATTCGGAGGAGGGAGAGCAGGCACGCTTAGGCGGTTGTCTTTCGGAGGGGAAATGGGTTCTTCCCGAATACTTGGTGTCGCACAATGAATGCGGCTCACTTTCTGCCGTGTTCCTGCTGCGGTTTGTTTTGCTTGAGGCTCTGGGCCAGCCCTTTTTGCGGCTTTTGCGGCTTTGCCCCTCTTTCCATGCCGTTATGGACCTTGCCGGTTGGCGGTTAACCTCCGTGTCGCATAATTGAGCCTCTCGTTATCTTGTTGTGTAAGGATACTCTGTGATTATCTCTCGTCCCCGACGTCTCGGGTTGGGAGCCGAGGGCAGGTCGAGGCCCTTACCCCCTCGTCTGATGCTGCGGCTGTGCCGTTGTCTTTTTTGGTTATTGTTGATGCTGCTTCATTGCCAGGAACGTGATGGTGTTGTTGATGTTGATGGGCTTACGCAATGGATCTAGTGTCTCGTATGCAGCCATGACAGCGTTCGCGGTCAGTTGGTGGTTCGTGCCATCGTGCAGGAGTTCCTCTCATCATTTTCCGTTGGTTATTCTCCGATGACAGAAGGCATTAGTTCGATCGAAGGCCTGGGACGAAATGAAGGCCTGACTCGAGGTTTGAGTCGTGCTGTGCGAGAACTCGAGAAGTGACTCGGCTACTGGGGCTCATTCTCATCGCGATGAGGAAATGAGATTTGGTGTAACTATTCGATACTGGTATTTCAATGAAAACGGTGAATTTTGAATCAAGTCTGCTGGGCCGCCCAGCAAACGCCCAGGCTTGGCTGTCTCTCTTTACCTTACGTTGATGAGAGAGCCAAGGAGCGTAGGCCAGTCAGAACGCGCCAAATGTTGCCGTTTTGTTCGGGATTTTGCTGCCGGGGACTCTGTCAAAACACACGGGAAATGGTCGCCCTCTCTGAACGGGCGTCGCGCGGGTTTGTGATTGTAAACAAGGGCACTTTCGGAAACGAGTTGATTCGATAACATCCGTATATCGCGATTCAAGTCTCGTGAGCAAGTTGTTTTTGATTTCCAATGAGGCGCAATGAATGGAAAACAGGTTAGAGGTCCCACCTGCCTTAGAAGGTATTTCAAGCACTCAAATTCTCGGATGCGATGGCTTCCATTTAATTGGCAATGTGGAAAACCTAAGAATGGAGAGAAAAGAGTTAAGCATTGAACTCTGAGAGAACATTGAGAAAGCAACAGGTTCGAAGTTCGAAGCAGGCGGGTACCTCGGAATATTTGCGATTGACGTGGCCCCTTCGAGTAAGGTATCACCCCACCCGGTTTTAGGCGTGCGGGTACATTTAGACGGAGCTCCTCGACTCGCTTCACTAACGTTCCTGACTCTCTAGTGTGGTCTCGCGCGGTCTCGAAAGGTCAGAGACAACCTTGAAAGTCAGAAAACCGGGCATCTGAGGCAAATCTTCTGACCCAGTCACAGCCCGCGAAATATGACATGACCCTCGACAGAGTGGGACTTTAGCTTCGTCTGTCGTGGAATCAGATCAGGTTCATCTCAGCTTATTGCAGATGGGTGGTGATGTGCACTGGCAACTGGAAGGAAAGATACTGGATAATGCACGTATTCGCCGTTTTGGTCAGCTCTTGGTCAGTCAGATAATACCTTAATAAACCGCAACTAACTACCAACTTAACGTCCCAAATGGCGCGATATACGCTATGCGATACGGATATTCTCGTTGGAACAGAGTTCCTCGCTGTCTCAAGTTTTTGCTGTGCCTCAATTGCGGCTCTGTTCCCTGCGGTCAAGAGGGGAGAATGACATGTACAGTTGTACATGACCCCCTAGCCAATTGTTACACACGGAGAAATTATTGTAGACTGCGATGGATTATCAGCAACTGGATAATCCCGTCGAGTAACCCGACACGAGACCACATCATCCACAGCCCGCACCTTATTATCCTGTCCCAGTTCTGCTACAGCTGACCAACCCCCCGGGTGCCCGGGCTGCCCTGTGTCGCCGCAAGTGAGACCGACCTCCGCTGTCCGTCTCTCCACATTCGTCTTGGCGCTCGCGATTCCTCCACTAAGGTAGACAAGGGTACTTGACTGGCCCTGCCAGAGACCACCAAAATCCCATGTATCCCCACACCTTGAATACTCGTAGTCTCGTACCGCTGATGCCCGTCCGGCTCACTTGCCGTGCGTCTCTTTTGGTGACCCGCCACTACCGTTCCTTCCCCATCCCTTCCGGTGACTTTTGTCTCTCTTCCCTCCTCCTCCTCTTCCTACAACCACCACCCACGACCCCGTCACCACTACCCGCCGAGCCGCCCTTCTTTTTCCCATCCGCATCTCAACATTCACCCAAATCACCAACGGACGATTGCGACAGTAATAACGACGACGACACCCCGATACTTACCCGCCACCACCCCGCAGACAGGCACGATTTCAACTGAGTACAACAAACGCACATTCGCTCGCCCGCTACACGATCAAATCTTGGGAATGGAAATAACCATCTGATATTCACGGTTCCGAGGCGATGTGACACGCCAATCCCCCTCCTCTTCCAACAATCGGCCTGCCAGCAAGCGAGCCCGACCAAACTCCCCGTCACCAAATCTGCGAACGCATTGTGCTGCGTGCTGCCATCTCCACCTCGTGCGACTTGAGCCATCATACCAACCAGTCTACGCCTTTTGCACTACTCTTCCGACATATTTCCTCGAGCGCCTCCTCATTCCTCAGGTCGCACCACTTGTCGTTCGAAATTGACAACCCTTCCCGTCGCTCTTCCCCTCTCCCTCCGTTCCGCCCAAAAGCGACGTCGACCGTCGTGCGAACGTGAGAAGAGGCGTAATCCAATCGACAGGCGAGATGGCGTCGTTATTGCTACGGGTCCTGGCTTGCGCCGTCGTCGGTGTTATGGCGCAGGCCGCAACCATCACCCCCGAGAACGATATCCCATCGTGGAGCGAGAGGTCGGCCATGCAGATGTCCCTGTCGACGGCTGGTGGCACCGTCCCACTGTCGTTCATCGTCATGCCGTCGACGGAGAACCTGGGGTTGAACCAGTCCGACGTTGTTCGCGGGGTACGAAACCTTCCGTCGCCTGGTCGGGCAGCGCAAAACTGTCGCTGCTCATCCAAGGATGTGGAACACTTTACTAACAACCTAATAGGCCGTTCGTATTGAGGGTACCATGGTAGCCGCCGACTCTTCGAATTACAACCAAATTAAATCAAATACTCAGGTCGCGTACCTTTCTTGCGACACCCAAGACGGCAGTGGCTTCATCAACCCTAACATGATGCTGGGCACCCTGATGGAAAACAAGCCAAAGGCTATTGTCTTGTATAGCACGGTCGGCAACTGGTGTATGCTTTCCGGCTCGGACCTGACGTATTACTCCATCTTCACTATGGCGGATGCTGGAGATTCTCAACAAGCCCTGCGTATTCTCAACGGCACAAATGAGGCGGACCAGCTCAAGGTCATCATCACAGGAAACGCGACAGGCGCTGCGAGTGATGGTGGAAACGGCGGCGGCGGCAACAACTCTGCTGTCGCCATGAGCATCCTGTACAGCATTACGGGCCTGATTACACTGCTTTTCTTGATTATCATCGCCACCGGCGCCGTCAGGGCTCACCGCTACCCTGAAAGATACGGTCCCAGGAACGGGTTCAACGGCCGTCCCCGCCAGAGCCGTGCCAAGGGCCTCGCTCGCGCTGTGCTGGATACCCTGCCCATTGTCAAATTTGGCGAGCGGCAGGAGGCGAAGCCGGATCCTAACATCGAATTGGAGAGCGCGTCAAACGTACCAACCAACGACACGGCTGTTGAGAGGCAGGGTGCTGCTGCTCCAGTGAGTACCAAGGATGTCGGGGCCACTGCTACAGCGACAGAAACAGCCCCCGCTACGACTAGCGATGCGGCCGCCACTGCGACTGGTGCTCTTTCTGCAGGCGGAGCTGCTGCAACTGTCGCCGGCGCCGCCAAGAGTGCTGGTTCCGACACCCCAGCTGCTGGAGGACAGGAGGATGAGCATCTTGGTTGCTCAATCTGCACCGAAGATTTCACCGTGGGTGAAGATGTCCGCGTGCTGCCCTGCAACCACAAGTTCCACCCCAATTGTGTAGACCCCTGGCTGGTCAACGTCTCAGGCACATGCCCGTTATGGTGAGTTTAGTTTGCTATCTTCTCGCAGAGCCCATGCCGCGTCGTCTCAGACACGAACTAGGCTTTCACTGGATATTCTGCTAACACTTATTTTCAGCCGTCTTGACCTCCGCCCACAAGGCGAAGCAGAGAATCCTAGTGATGAACTTCCGCCCCCGCTTGAGCTGGATGGTCATGAGAGCGATGGCTCTTCCACCTCGCAGCGACGGAGGACACGATTGTTTGACCTCAACAGGTTGAGGCATGCTTCGGCAGAAGAGCGTATTCAAGCCCTTCGACAATACCGTACCCAGCACCAAGTACAGGGTGAAGCTGGGAGCAGCGCGGTCGACGTTGGAGGTGAGGAGAGGAACGATAGGAGCCGCAGGGCAAGATTAGCCGACAAGCTGCGCGACAAGTTCCGGATTCGAACGGGACCTCAGTCCTAAATCAACGTAAAGGGCATTCAGCACATTGGCGTAGACTACGAAAGGCGGGTGTACCCAAGCAAGTCTTGGAGGAAATATTAACGACACGAGAGAACAACGACTACAACAGCACAACACACACATTGACGATGACGAAGGGTGTCACAGGCATCAATGTGGAAGAGATCCCCTTTTCAAGTTTCGACGGATAGACATTGGCGTTCTGGGCACAAAACAACATCAAGGACAGCATTGCATGGCGTTGAGCGGGTTATGGAAGCATGGCGGAAATGTGACGCCGGCTTACTCCATTTGCTTTCAGCCGTTGAGCGTTGAGCGACGGCGACTGTACATTTGGCTAGCCCGTGTTGTTCAACGGAGTCAGCCCTGGCATGATGGATACGGACAAACGCCATCAAGCTGATGGCTCGGGATGAGGACGGCGAGGAGGGGAAGGGTTTGAAATGAGAACCGTCGTCAACCCCAACGCCTGCATAATTCAGCCATGGGTTGGGCCTAGGAACCACACGGGCTGTTTATCGTTTTAGAAGCAAAACCAGAGCATGTTATTCAAAGGAGGGGAGCGAACAGTGCATAGCATAGACAGGATTTGAATGACGATCTGAATTAAATGACTCGACTAGCCTGTTGGTGATCCATCACCCATGTCTCTTTGAGAGTTGGCAAGTAGGAGAAGGAGAGAGAGAGAGAGAATAGTCGAACACACTCAGAGCCTAGACTAGCCATCTGGAATCAATTGACGCCAAAGACGAAGGGGACGATACGGGCGGGCTCTTGTGGCTTGAAGGGGATAGAGAAAAGTTGAAGAACGGGTTTAGCGTCCAGCCTACCTTGGACGGCAAAGATCTACTTTGATGCGTGGCGTTTTGGTGCCTACACCAGCTCCAGCGGAAGGAAGGCAGGAGGTGGGAGGGCCAAGGAGAGGAGGAAAACGGTGGATCGTTCCGCGCGGAAAGTTCGGCGGCGGCGGCGAAGAGGATGGCGAGCACGGCGAGAAGGAACCCGTTTGTGAACGGATAAAGAGAACGGGAAGGAGGGGAGAGGCAAAGCTGTAGCGGAAAT